TAGATAGATAGATAGATAGATAGATAGATAGATAGATAGATAGATAGATAGATAATCTCCCCAGAATCAATTCAAGGACTAGGACACAATAGTTATTCTCTTAGTGATAGTTGAAATGAGCTAAAAATAGTTAAATTACAAGTTTTAGAACCTAGTCTTTAGAAAATGTGATAAAAATATCATGATTTCAATTTCTCAAACATGTTTCATATATGTCTTTTAACACCAAAATCTAATAAAATTGCTATCAATAGTAAATTAATGACTACTTATTGATAATTTCTTTATAAAACTTTAAAGATTTGCATAGACATTGGGTTCTACTATAAGAATATTAAAATATCAAGAAGTAGTAACATGTTCCTGATTGTAATGCTATAGGTATGCTGAACCACATATTTTTCTACCGGTAAGATATAAGACAATTATGTTTATTTAAATATGTTCTACAAGGTGTGGTATTCTCCTCAAGATAAATAGATCAATGGAATAAAATAAATAACCTAGAAATATACCCATCAATAGTGTCAATTGAGTTTTGACAAAGGTAGTGAAAGAATATTTTAAACAAATAATGATAAATCATTGAATATCTATATGCAAGGAATAAGGAAGAAGGGGCCATGAGCCAAGGAATACAGGTGGCTTCTAGAAACTGGAAACAGTAATCAAATGTAGAGCCTTCAGAAAGGAATGTGGCCCTACCCAGACCTTGATTTTAGTCCACTGAGACCCACCACTAGGACTTCTGATAACCAAGACTGTAAAATAATAATAATATAAATTGTATTGTCTTTAGCCATTGGATTTGTGGTAATTTGTTATAGTACCAATAGAAAACTAATAAAATGATGGTAAACAAAAATAAATACTCAGTGACTGAGTAAACTTCCACTACCAACAAAAAACAAGAAATATACATGATCAGAATATGTAATTTTAAAAGAAACAATTTTATTTACTATAATTCCAGGAAATACAGAATAGACAGGAATAAATAGGACAAGGCATGTAGAAGTCCTTAGAGAAGCA